CTGCCACGCTGAGCTTCAGAAATGCAAGGCAGTGAGAGGCGAAACCATGATTTTTCTTGTATATGGTTACAGGAATTGCACAAATTGTGCAACTATGTACCATGAGGAAGAAGAAAAATACTGTCATTTTTCATCTGTACCTTTTTAGCTGTATTAGCTCAAAGACTTTCAACATCAATATTGGTTATTAAATATTCGACATCACTGTTTCATTCTACTACAGACATTGTGCCAATTTTGACTTCAGCTGTAATCGAGTGTCACAGAGCAGGATTGAAGAACTCAGCCTTCAGTTTTGCTGCTATGTTGATGAGACCTGAGTATCGTAATAAAATAGATCTTAAATACAAAAAGAAGATCGAAGCAATGGTGAGGTGAGCAGTGTTAATCTCTACTTTCAAACGTGCACAATATCAAGGCTTTTTTTGTAAAGTTGTTTTGGCTCATGAAGCCGACGGGCTTTATCCTGCTTTCATATTATTTCACTGTCTCAAATTTGGGAGGCTAAGAACCATTCTCCTGCTTCTCAGAAAATGAAATGCTCTTCTTATTCCCTTGGATGTGATAAACCTTGAATGCAATGTGGATGTAAAAAGCTTCCTAACCAGTAGTAACATTTTCCATCTTGTCCGTACAGAAGAAAGTGCAGCCATATGGCTGTAGTTGTTCTCTAGTTAGGAGTGTGCGTGTAAACGGTTAGCTGCTACAAACGGTTAGCTACTACAGTTAGCTACTGCGAACAGTTAGCTACTGCAAATGGTTAGCTACTACAGCATGAGCAGCACGCTCTTCTGTGATTTAGACTACTGACTAAATGGCTACAATAAAAAAGAATGGAAGGGCAAAGAAAACAGACGAATTCTCAACGTTTTCTTCCTTATCTGAAGTTCTGTTTTGACAGATGCTAGCCAAAGTTTTCTGCCGAAGGAGGAAGTCTAGGTGACTGTATAAGAGCAGGGCAAGTATATATAATGCTTTTCTTACTTATTCTACTGGCCTCTAACCATTTTGGGACTCAGGGACCAGGGACTTGCTGAGCCCCTATGGGTGTTTTAGGTATTTATTAAGTCTCTAAGCTCTCCATGAGCTTATCCAGTCTCTCTGCTTGAAGCCATGTAAATTTTTAGCAACAGGTGACTCCTGTGACAAGAAGTTCTGTTGTGTCAAGACTGGTCACTAGCTAATTGAATGGGATGCCTGGTAATTTCCCTCTTGGGAGCGATCTAACCTTTTCTGTGTCACTTAAGATTTTATAGACACTTTTTTTTTTTTTTCCCCCTCTTTCATCAGTCACATCTCTTCAGGACCTGAAGAATCTCAGCTTACATAGCTATTCTTTTATGGATATTGATCCTATGGCCTTTCTCTGAAACTCTTTTTACAACCTTTTTTGAGGAGACAGGACCAAAACTACACACCGTATTTAAGATGTGGACAACCCATGGATTTATGTAGTAGCAGAATGACTCTTTGTTCCACCCTACTTGATTTGCTTTGATGGCTTTTAAAGCAAGCTGATGTTTTCATAGCGTATACTGTAATTGCAAGATCCTGCTCCTAAGCCACAGCAGTTCAGAGTCCATCATCTTATATGTGGAAACCTTTTTTTTCCAATAGGCCCTGCTTTGGCTTCCCCAACCCTTGTATTTTCTTGTCACAAAGTTCTTCTGGAATTCTTTGAAGCTGGCTCTGGCCCAGATCAATCTGAATATTATCTACAAGCTGTGTCATCACGTTATTTTCACTCATATTTCATGAACATGCAGAACAGCAGTAGGTTACTACGGATGTGTACTGTAAGAACTGTTTAATCTAAATCTGGAGAACAGATTTAGATTAGATTTTAGGAAGAAATTCTTCAGTACAAGGGTGGTAAGACTTTGGAATAGATTGCCCAGAGTTGTTGTGGATGCCCCCTCCCTGGAGGTGTTCAAGGCCAGGTTGGACAGAGCCTTGAGTAGCCTGATCTAGTTGAGAGGCGTCCCTGCCCATGACAGGGAGGTTGGATTAGATGATCTCTAAGGTCCCTTCCAGCCTATGCCATTCTGTGATTCTATGATTTATCCTATTCTGTTTAGTGTTTTTTTAACCATGTTTTTAAATTCATGCAAAGTTCTTCCCTATTGCCTGCTTGTTAACATTTCTGTAACATTCCAGTAAGCTTCTAAAACATGACATCCATGTTAAAAGCCATGTTGATGTGTTCTTAATCTATCATGTTTCTCCATACCTCAGATTGCTTAAGTAGAGACAAAGGAACAGGCCATTGCAAGGGAAACATAGATGCCCAGGCTAATAAAAGACATTAGGCTTTCTACAAAGTATCGAGATAACTAAGGAAGCCATCTAACTGTCTCCAAGGTTACTAGGCTAAACATTAGACAGGATCCTTCCTCTTCATTGGAAAATACACTAAAAGTGAATCTAAGTTCTTAACCTATAAACGTTCCATAGAAGTTTAAACGTCAAGGTCACAAAAGGAACCAGAAAACAGGTTGTCTGCTGCCCCACCCACAACCCAGGTGCTGTGATGTCAGGATCAGGACTATCAGGCCCTTGGAGGAAAACAAGCCTGTGAAAGGCAAAGTTGGAGCTGTAGCGTCCTGCCAGGATGCCAGTCTTATTTCTTGTTACTTCAGTTCTTTGTGGTCACTCCTGTCACAGAAGAACACGGGAACAGAGAAACCATAGCTTTATATTCCATACATAGAGATTGTGCGTTTTGAAAGATTTTCTTTTGGTTATAGCTTCAAAAAAGTTGCCTTGTTTCAAATTAGATGGAAACTTACTTATTTCTGACTTTATGTAATTGTGATGATACTTGGGTGATAGTTAAAAGGAATTATCTGGTAGAACATAAAACAGCAACTGGAAGGTATGCAAATAACTCAAAGGAGAAACCCTTGCTCACTATCAAAGGTACTGTAAAACATCTTTGTTCAAAGCCTTGAGGTGTTTATTCCCCTTTGGGTTTTACTTCCAGGCGTCCAGACACAACAGAGGCAGAGGAACCAACAACAGCGTGTCCATATTGCGCATTCCAGCTTCCAGAGTGTGAGCTTTTGTGTCCCAGCTGTAAGAACAATCTTCCATACTGTATTGCAACTGTGAGTGTCTGCCCTGTTTTCTGCAGTCTGAGATTGAACACAAAACTCTTCTTTCCTTTGAAAAATAAGTGGATTTGCTCACAGATTGAAGCTAGATGTTTGTGGTTTTTTTCTAAGCTGCTACCAAGTAAGCAAAAACCATTCTTGTTGTCCTTGAGCATCAAAGAGTGTCCTTAGTTGCCACCTGCATGTTGCAGGCACTGAAGGGTGACAGTAAAACCACAAAGTGGTTCTGGAGGACTTCAGCTTCCAGGGAAGGCAGATGGTGCACCAGTGCTCCCCTGAACCCCCAGCACCCGTGGGCCCAGTGCAGCTGGTGCCCTTGGGAGAACACCCAGAGAGGATTTTGCACTGCCTGTGCCTTCCCAGCTTAGCCCTCGCCTCAGGTGCTCCAGTGCCCAGAGCAGTAACGGCAGAGATGGCAGTCCCTCTTTGTCTTCTTCCATGTACAGGAGCATGTGGAGAGCACAGCTCTCCTCCCGTAAACTCACTCCAGGCTGCCTGGACTTCAAATCAAAAAAAAAAAAAAGACAAACCACTTCAAAAAACTGATTTGGGGAATGCCCATAACGTTAACAGAATTTTTAGGGACATCCAAGGTTAAGTAGTGGTTCAGCCAGTGACCTCAGCATTTCTTATATTACTGATCCACCCAGAAATGAGACATTCTAATGTTTTTATTTCAGGATACTTTACACTGTACTGAAAAGGTATGGATGGGGTACATTTCCCAGTGGAAGAGCCATGCATCCCACTGTTACCAGTAGCAGTACAAAATCTTTATACTGAGGTTAGCTACTGTGTAACTAATGCTTTTATTTTTACTAGGTTCAAGTGATTTGTCACACTAGAATTATAGAAAAATCAAAATCTACTCAAGCAGGAACCAAGTAGTGAAGTTAATTCTTTATTAAAATTAAAAAATGTTCAGTCTTACAAAAAATATTTGTAGCAATTATCTATTTTCTTACTCCATTGCTGTAGCAGAATAAGATGACCAGTATATTTTACAAGTATTATCTTAAGGAAAACAAGGCTTTTAAATATAGCTTTATGGGCCAAACACAATGTACATATTCATGTATATTTCACATTATTTATTTAGGCCCCGTCTTTGTTATAGTTCATTTACATTGCAGCTATTTGTGACATCATTAGGAATGCAGCATTTTCAAATATCTTATGAGTCAGTGTCAAACAGTCCACTGTTGCATATGGTATTAGAACAGAAATCTCTCCATATAGCTCAAGGTGCTGTTGGGTTCCATAGTAGCAAAGGTACAAGTGAATTCCTTCTGTCAAAAGCAAATCAGTAAACCATCCCAAAAGAGGGGAAATCCTTTCTGTTTCAAGAGGAGAGCGCCAGGCAGTCACTACGCTCACAAACTTGAGAGTGTGGAATCGTGTGGCTCTGGGGGCATTTTTTCCATGTCATATGCAACACCAAAAATCGCAGTAGATTTACGTACATCTCTAGACATGGATCTACATTCTGGAATTGCCAAACTAAAAAGAATTTTAAAAACCTGTGATTCAATACATTCTTAGATTTGTTGTTTTCAAAGAGGAATGCAAATTGTAACGAAAACACTGCATCTCACAGAGAGCTCCTTTTCTAGCTACAGAATTTACACAGCAATCAGCCTACAGTAATACTGTTATGGTTTTGGGGGTTTCAGTTCCTCAAGATCTTTACAACTCAGTTGCTGAGACGTCTCACAGTAACAGCTACAAAACTCAATGCCCAGCGTTTGAAGACGGCACGTGCCGTTGAATTACTTGTGGTTTTTGCGTGCAGGGCCGGCACATGGTACAAGATGACTGGACTGTCTGCCCACACTGTGACTTTCCTGCTCTCTACTCAGAATTCAAGATGTAAGTTTGGATTTTTTTTTTTTTCCCCTGACTGTAGGATTCCAATGTTTGTTCATATTTTAGCAGCAAACTGTTTCACTTGGTACTAAAAACATGTAACAGCTGGAGGGGGGTGGAAGAGGAATCTCCCTTACTTGGTAGTTTCATCTCACACACTCATAAACCATCACTTCAAACTGGGCCAAAAACTACAATAAAGAACTCAGCCCGGGGCTCCAACAACAGGACAGTGATGAAGGTGGATGAGGAACTTCATGTTCCAGCCCAAGCTCCTTTCTGTGTTTTAATTGCCAAATTTTCCTCACACCCATGCAAACAGCAGCAGCCTTCCTGTTGTGTTGTTAGCTCTCAAGTATTAAAAAACAAACCAACCAACCCTTTGCTCCACCTAGACAAGCAGCTGTTGCTCAGGCCTGTATTTGTTACATAGCGCAGGTCAGAACTTTGCTCAGTGCTTTCTGCCTCAGGCCCAGCTGTTCCTTTGAAAATGTTGGAATTATCATTTGACCAGTCACCTTTCTTTCAAAACAGCATGTTACAGACTGAAAACGTATGTCCAATGTGTTCTGAAAGGATTAACATTGTTCATCTTAAGAAAATAAATGATTGCACACAGTACCTCAAGCCAGAAGATGGAGACCAATAAATTCAGGTATGTGCAAAAGCCTGTATTTTTCACTTAAGAGGGCTTGTTCTAGAGGACATCAGGAGTTTTTCCCAGCAAGGGAAATGCAGTGTTCAAGAGTCTGACTTAACAGCCTGGGTCTTCCCTCAGATAACGAAGACCCAGGAGTATCACCTATTTGCCCTCCAGCATGCAAACACGAGTAGGGTTTCCTACTGTAACAACCGTGACTGGTTTAAAGCCTCACAACTGGAATGATTTAACAGTTTAGCTCTTTGCTCACATTATCATCTGCAACATGTTCTACTTTGGAACACGTTGCTGAACACTGGTTGTGCTTCAGTAGCACAGAGAACAGTCTGAAGATCTCAGCGTCATCAAATCTTTCTACAGATCTACCAACAAGTGTTAAGTGGAGGAAGAGAGAGAGATGATAACTGGAAAGAGCAGATCTAAAACACAGGTTACATCAATATTAGATTCTATTTTTAACAGAATATAAGAATATATATCTCACAGGCTAACAGCAACATAGCATTGGCTTGAAATACTCATATTTCAAAGAATAAGGCCACTGCTCTGTCTGTACCACACATTTGGATCCAAGACTTCAGTTTTGCTAAAGGAAGGGTACCTGAAAAGAAGCTGACAAAGTTCCTCGTTAATTGTGACATTTGAAGGCAGATCTACTAGTGCAAACCACCTGCTGTGAAAATTTTGATCTATAAGTCAAAGTAACATACAAATGATACTATAAAAGTATATATACACCACGACCACCTTATTTTTGTATGCATTTATTTCCCCCATCTGAGAAAACTTGTCACAGTCTTCCTATCTTGGGGTATGACTAACTGCCTCTGGTTTATTTTCAGAACTGCAGGTGGTGTCTGGCAAGCAGCAAGGAAAGCTCCATCACTACCTTACACATCTCTTCTCCCCAAGGATTTAATAACAACCACCATGGCATTTCTATTTTGTGCTAGCCTGTAAATATTTAGCTTTTGATAAATTTTGTATTTTGATTTATTATAGTAATAAACCTGATTGATAATTCTTCTTACTGAGCAAAATTTGCATTTTATCAGCACCAGAGACAAACTAAGGTGCATTCTGTGTTACGTGAGTGGCAGAAAAAGCCCCAGCGTTCTCTTTTTCAACATCAGTTCTGAACTTCTATGACTATTTTCTATTAAACATTTCTTACTGTTGAAGTATTCCATTCTGGTTTTGATTGAAGATACAACTTGTACAAGCACAGAGGCTCCTCAAGCTTGGAACTAAATCCCTCACTGCTTTTCCATGTCTCTAACTGAACAAAAGAGAAGTTGCAGAAGAAGAGTAACACCACATCCTGCACAGAAAGGAAAGCCAGAACCTTGGAAGAAGACAAGGAGAGACAGAACACTCCATGAACTTAGCCAGAATTTTAAAAGACTCCTGTGAAACGTTTTATTGTAGTTTTATACACCGCTTAACTTCTATAATGTACAAATACACAATTTAGGTTGGGGATTTTTTGCATTGCATACTATTTACAAGAGTTCACGCATAATGTCAGGGGATTTATTGGGGGGGGGGGGGGGGGGGGGGAGATGGAAGTTAAGTCCTAGGAAGACTTCGCATAAATGCCAGATAACTAAGTATCATGTTTCCATTGTGTTCCTGCACTCCAGTATTTGTTGTACAAGGATGTTTACAGCTTGTAATGTCGTAGCACATTACAAGTAAGTCCAGCTGTACTGTATAGTGAGAGAGTACAGTAGCTACATCACCTCTATGAGAGGAGCATTTTCAACGCACTGGTTCTCCTTTCCCAGCTCCATCACTGAATCCATTTCATGTTCCTGCCAGAAGTTAGATAAGCAAAGCTGCATCCAGAGCAAGATTTTGTTCTGTTTAATGTCTTGTTTTCTCTTTTCTTTTCCCTTCTTTTTTTGTTGTTTCTTCATTTTTCTCTCTTTTGGGCAGCTTGGAAGACTTCACCTTTTTTTGCTACAGAAAGAATATACAGATAGTTTAAAATCCAACTGCAACACGACAAAAGCGTAAGTCAAAACGCAGCATTAAAAGAAAAAGCCCTCTCTTCTCTTCCCCTCCCCTTTCAGGTACCCAGTTTTTAAACACCGTGGAGCAAACAGACTCTACACACAACATTTGGTCTTTAGGGCTGACCACAGTTCCCCGGTATGATGCTACGTACAAAGGGTATTTATTACTGGAATTGCCATCTATGATAACCACAAGCAAAGGCCTGTGGCTGCTCTTTACCAACAGCACCATTTTTACATTCAGTTGTTACAAGTCCCAGAAAGGTAACTAAGAGGAAAGAGTTTAGTGTGGTAGTTTAACACTGAGGAAACTAAGTCACCTTAATCATTGCATCACTTTCAACAGTATCTTGCTCATCCACATCAGACTGGATCTCTTCCACATTCAAGTCTTCATTTAGTTCTAAGGTCACTGCAGATCCTGACTGCCTCTTAGATGTCTTGACAGAAGTCAGTGAATATGGAGTCAGGTGTACCTCTTTGTTGTAGGCACGTGTAAAAGCTGCTTTGACCTGTTGGGTGTAAAGGAAACACTATGAGCATCAGCTTAGGAACTGTAGATTGTTAGCTAGCCAACTCTTGGCTAGAGATTCCACATCATCTTTCCTTTGGGAAGACGTGACCAAAGATTGGTAGAAGAGGACACTATCTCAAAAAGACATAGAAAGCATTTAAGAGCTGTGTGGTGAAGGCTCATTTGAAGCAAGTCCCACGTAATCCTCAGATGGAGCATGCACCTTCAGATGCTTCTCACATAGGCCTCCAATAATTTCAGCACTGTTGTTCTGCTGCCACCTGATCCAAGTCACTTACACCAAAGCCACCCTCCGCAGCACTGAACAGCTGCCACACTGGAGCTGTGTATTCAGACTAGGGGCAGACACCCAATAGTAGCACAGGTTTAGTTATCAGCAGGGAAGATTCTTCTCTTTCCCTGAGCACTTGACCTGGGATGAGGGAGATGGTCATTCACAACTCACACCTGCCTAGTTTGTAGCAGGGAGCTGAGTTTAAGCTCACTTGTACCAGATGAGGGCCTCAACCACTGAAGTGGACTAGATGGATACTGGAGGACCCCCCAGGTCTGGCAGTTCAGTTTAACTGGACTGAAAGACGTATGCTGCGAGCCAACCTCTTAATTCAGTGCTCAGACCATAACTAATAAGGTTGTGCATCCCTCCTCCTTTGCATGATGGTAAGAAAGGCAGGACTTTGCCTTTCTTGCATTGAAGGTGATCCAGCTTATAGCCAGAAGCTTGTTTGTAGGAAGGTACCGGCTTTCCCTGTCCCTTCCGTGTTCCACTTCTATGCCCCAGATACAACCGACTCCCACTCATCCTTTACACTGGGAACAACACAAAGACGACTGCTAAAAGAAGCACAATCTTTTAGGACACACCTCTAAAACCTTCAGTAGTGTGTTTGACAGCTGATTTGCAAAGACTATCGTTAATTAAATTATAGTTAATTACTCATTTGCAGCTGCGCAAACTTCAGCTTTCCAGCAGCACATCCATACTACAGCTATTATGCTAAGATTTCTTTTTAAAGACACAGAAGAAAAGGAAAAAATTCACTAGTGAATTTTACCTTGGGATCCAGCTTTGAAAAAGGACTGGGTTTGCCTCCCCACACACTTATTTCCATGATATTTTCAATATCTTCTTTCATCAAGCAGTAAGAGTCCATGAATGTTATAGCTTCTTGTACACCATCTGCTCCAAGGTCTTTCAAGGGCTGGACAAGCGCATCCCGCAAATACGACAAATACTCCATATTTACTGTCCTCTTGCACGTCTGAGTTCTTTGTGGAATTGAAAGTAATAAGTAAATCTGTACAACCACCACTTCTCACTTCTAAACACAAGCAACCTGTAGGTACACCCTCAGCAAACAGATAATCAGGTGCCTTAAGAGTTAACTGCAAGCTGTACTGTGCCACTCCTTTTGCCACAGCTGCATTAGGGATAACCCTGTGCAAGGGACTCAAACAGTGAACCGTCTGGGGAAACACATCCCTCAGTGAGAAACAACAACTTCAGAGGAAGACAAAAAAGTCACAATACTGCTAACAACTCTGAAAGTGATGCAGTCGGACTGTTGTCCGGATTAAGAGCTAAGGAAGCATCACCAACAACATGTGAGGATATTCACAGATTACATTCTTTAAGATTGCACTAAGCACAGCACGGAGTAAATGGTGGGTAACGAGCTACATGAGAACAAAGTACCCGTGACAATATAAGCCAGAGAGGAATGCCAGTACTACCTGAGACTCATGTGCATTGCCAGTTCTTGAATGATACGATCATGTTTGCCTGTGGATGAAAATTTCCCCAGCCAGCTGGGAAAGACAGGAAACTGGGACATGTGACCTCTCATCAGCTCCCCCGGGAGAACACTTGCATAAATAGCCTGAAAAAGTAACACAGGTGCCAAACTCAGATCCCAATGAATCAGCCTCTCTGACACCGTGATGCGCTGCCCTAGTTGTCCGCGTGAAAGCGGGTAGTGAATGCAGTGCCACAGTGGAAACAGCTGGTTTTAAGGGAACTCCTCTTGGTTACTTGTTTGTCTTCAACTCCTTTTATGTTACAGCTTCATCTCTTGTACCACCCTATTTGTTACTAGGTTCTGAAATAGCTGTCAAACTATCTGGGTTTTAAAAGCCATTTTAAAAAAAAAGGAAAAAAAAAAGCCCGTTCATTTCTCATTTTAGAACGCACCCAAACAGCTGACTTCACACAAACAAGTGCTGTAGTCTCCAGCAGATGGACACGGTGAAGGAGATATTTCCGAAGAACACCACCAATCTACAAAAACTCAGCTAGGTATAGTTCCTCAGCAACTTATCTGTTTAGACCTGCATTAAGCAGGGAGGTGGACTAGGTGACCTCCAGAGGTCCCTTCCAACTTTATGATACTTTCTCCGACACCTGTCATAATCCTTTAAGCCCAAGTCTTGTCAGC